CCCAGGCTGAGATCTTCCTCCACCTCTCCTGTATCTCCCCCTCTGCAGAGAGAGCTCCTGAAGAGAGGAAAGCTCCTGCAAGATGACCTCTGACCTTGAATGAGTGTCACTCTTGAAAGGCAAGCGTCACGCTGATGTCTGGAACAAACAGCCTGGGTTCTGTGGTGCGTTCACTGACACAAACAACAATCAGAAATTTAAAAAAACAAAAACTGTTTATTACAATTTGAATTTCCCAGCATGCCTAGGGGCTGATACAGACTGTCTGAGCTGTGCTTTAAATAAAGTTTTACGTTTTGTGTGTTTGAATCAAAACTTTATGTGAAGAAGCCCAAACACAAACCCGAGGAGCTGACAGCTACTTCCTGTCCGACCTCTGACCTGTTGTATTTACTGCTTGCAGCATCCAGTAAGCGGCAGGAAGCAGCTGATTACATCTGAATAGACTAACATAATAAAAGTCTGGCTGTGAATAACAAAGTAAGAGTCCAAGACGAGCGCCGATGCTACTCCGCCTAAGTCCGAACCTCCGCCTGATGTAGAGAGGGCGGGGTAGAAACCTGCTTCCTGCCTGAGAGAGGCGGAGCTTCAGTGGCTCTTCTTGGACGAGCCAAAGCCAGAGAAGCCCATCACTGCCGCCATCTCTTCGTCCTCCTCGAAGTCCACGTCCTCCTCCGCCCGTCGCTTCCGCTCCTTCTGCTTCTCCTTCTTGTACGCCTTCGCCTTCTCCTCCTAAAGACACGCAGCACAGACACCCGTGAGGAACGCGCTCATCCCGAAAGCCTCACGAGATCCATAAAACTCCTCCTCACCTCCTCCCGCAGCTCCTTCATGCGCTCCTCGAAGTCGTACTCCTTCTGCTTCTCCTCCAACTTCTTCTTGTTCACCTCGAATCTCTTCTTCACCTGATCAAGAGACGAGCGCTCCACCCGCATCGACATGCCCAGGTTCCTCTGATCTGCTCACACACACACACCACCTGCTGTTCACACTGAAGAACATCAGCAATGATGTGTGTGACATGATTTTCAAAGTAAAAGCCTCCTCTCTGATCAGGTTGGCTGTGAACTCACGTTTTTTGCCGTTGATGTGATCCAGGAAGTTGATGGAGTCTTTGACCACACAGTCGCACACGTTACAGTAATACCTGAAACACCAAAGGAAGAAAAAAGGTCACCTGTATGTCCTTGCTCCGCCTATATAAGGAGAATGGCGGCAGCAGCTGAGCAGCCCAAACTTTGAGCGAGGTCATCAGATACGTTTGTGTGAGAGAACAGAGCTCTACTGACTTCAGCTGACAGTGTGGGCGGAGCTTGTCCTGACACTGACCTTCTTGTCAGTGAGTGAGCCTTCATCACGCCATATTTTCACCTGTAAAGCAGCTGCAGCTGACTTGTGACATCACACGTCACGTCAGCGGTTGCTTTCGTTCAGCTTTTGTTTTGTTCTCAGTCTGCACGACAACTTGAAGAGACGATGGCGTGTGAACCTGGTCTTACCCGCCCATCTCGGCCTGCGGTGTGGTCTTGGTGATGACGATGGTCTTCCCCAGCTTGGACTCCAGGTCCACCTTGTAGTCCCGGTGACGCAGGAGGTCGCGCTTGACCGGCGGCGCAGTTTTTCCTGAAGGTGCCAACATGTGACAGGTTAATACAGAAAGTGAAAGCCTAAGCTCCTCCCTCTGAGCTGCTGATGTTCTTACCATCTCGCCGCTCGCGCTCCCTCTCCTCCACCAGACGTTTCTGGGCGAGGTTCTCGTACTCGTCTTTGTCCCATTTCCGCCTGAAGTCGTTTTTACTCGACTGGAAGAGAAAAGAGAGACGCTGCCGTTACCGCGCTTCCTGTCAGAGCTGATCACAGAGTGGAAATCACAATCCACAGAAACGTTGATTCAGTGACATGAAATCATTAATCATTTCTGGTATTATTGATAAGTCCCCATTCAGAGGTTAAAACACGGTCTGAGCTTCAGCTTTTATTTTTAACTGCTAAACTTCTGTCATCCTCTATTTTATGTATATAAGATTTAGACTGTGTATTTACGGATGTATATACACATACATACATAGACAGATATATACATGTGTGTGTGTGTCGTTTACATATTGTTGTGATTTACATTGCTGTGCTTGAGGGTCAACCGGAACCAAACTCCTTGAATGTGTTTGCGCATACACACGGCCAATAAACGTGATTCTGAAAATAAAGACGTCTAACTTTCACCTCCACCTGCTGCCTCCTCTCTCTACAAATCAAACATGTGGCTTATCAATAAAATACAGATCATCTTAAAGTCAGAAAAGCAGCAAGTCTTTATATCTGAAATAAAAAACATTTTAATTCAAGCCTGAGCCGAGTTCCTTGTTTTGAGGTGAAGCTTTTATTTTGACAGGCCGGAAGTCACACCGCTTGCGCTAACAGGCTAACACTGATCAGCTAATCTGTTTCCGAGCTGCAGGAGGGACAAGAACAAACACGAAGTGCCAAGCAGCAGAGAGTGGGTTAACGAGCACTGGCATAACGTTTAGAAAACGTCTGAAATGAAACCGGAAACGCTGAACAGGGTCACGGTTAGCATGCTAGCTGCTGCTAGCTAAGCGCGCTGAAAACAGCTGTCTAAAGACGGAGAACCGGCTTGAACCGGACCCGGTAACAACCCCGACTACGACAAATCCCGAGAGTGAAACACGCCGTGCTCACACCGCCAAGCTTTCATGTTTTTACTCTAAAGAAGAAGAAACGCTCAGAAACTCACCCCGCTGCCTGACGCCATCTTGTTTACTTGTGACCGGAAATGACGGCAGCCGCTGTAGCGTCATTTTTTCAACAGAGATAGAAAGAGCGCCACCTGCAGGAGAAGAGGAGGTGAGGCTATGAGGCCCTTTATCAAACCCATCGCTGCTTCAGTCTCAGCAGGTTTACCAACCTTCACGTCTGCACGACGAACCTGCAGCACTGACGGCAGCGAGCTCTGAGCTCAGCGTCAGGATCTGTCAGGACTGCTGAGCGCTGGGTGGGAAGTTTCCCTGTCAGGACTCTCACTGCAGCATTTTGGATCAGCTGAAGGCTTTTCAGGGAGTTTTTAGGACTTCCTGATAATAATGAATTACAGTCGTCCAGCCTGGAAGTAATAAATGCCTGAACTAGTTTTTCAGCGTCACTCTGAGACAGGATATTTCTAACTTTAGAGATGTTGCACAAATGGAAGAAAGCAGTCTTACATATTTGTTTAATATGTGCGTTGAAGGACATGTCCTGGTCAAAAATGACTCCAAGGTTCCTCACAGTGTTACTGGAGGCCAAGGTAATGCCATCCAGAGTAAGAATCTGCTTAGATACCATATTTCTAAGATTTTCAGGGCCGAGTACAATAACCTCAGTTTGCTCTGAATGAAGAAGCAGAAAGTTAGAACATACGAAGATCCTTTATGAGCTTCACATTGTTTCTGAACTGGGATGAGCTCTGAAGCCTGAAACGTCAAATACACCGTTCCTCTGCAGATCATCAATGAGCTCTTTCAAGAGTTTTTGATGGGTTGGAGAAAGTATTGAAGTCAGATTGAGACAAAAGCCCACAGAGCCCTCGTTACCCACCGCAGCAGCACCGATGTTAGTGGCTTGTGTCAGATTGGCGTTAGCACAGATTTAGTGACTGATTAAACCTGTTGTGATATCAGAGTGATGACAGATTTATCATACCTCACAGTCCACACTCACACAACCAATATCCATTTATCAGCCTGTCTGTGGGACTCAGCTGCTCCCGGCCCCCCTGCTGGTGTGGGGGACCTGAGCAGCTCTTCTGTCTGTGCGGTGCTGAAGACGCAAATGTCTAATGTGATAAATATGGACTGTTTGACTGTATCAGTGATAGGATGAGGAAACTGGCTCGCTATGATATTCTGAATAAGATGAAACAGGAGAAACAGGCCTGACTGCAGCACTGATCTTAGAATCAGCCATAAATATGTTTCTGACTTTATTTATTGTTTAGAGCAATAAATTTAATGTAATTCCTGAAATAAAAAACTGTTTATCAACGGAATTTTAAAATAAAACAAATCAGGGACCAGCTGGAGCGTAACCAGGTTGATTTTAACACTTAGAGTCCCCCGAGAGCAGCAGTGCCCAGCCTTCTACCTTTCTACCTTTAAAACGCGCCTTCCAGCCAAATGGCTGGTAGGCTTTCAGCTAGGCTTTAGCTTCAGCCAAGTGGAAGCTAAATTGGCTAGTCATTCATATGTAAATTAGGTTGTTACCTGGGAATTCTGGAGGGGAGTGGGGGTGTGTGAATGAGGGGGTGGGGAGCTGCTAAAAGCTGTGAACTTCCTTTTGTGTTCGTCTTGATGCATTCTCAATCATCCAGGGAAATAAATCTCCAAAAGTCACCAACTTGGAGTGTTTCAGTTTGCCATCTTAGGGAGAAATCAACACACATGGGTGTATGTCCTGTGTTGCTGAGATTTATTGATAAAAACAGTACAAAAACCCAACCATTTGTACACATATTTACAAATAATAATAAAAAGTGAGTGAGTACATTTCAACATTTTCAGCAATCACTCACAATCCTGGCACTGCCATGGTATCTGTAGTCTGCATTTACCACATGTGTGTCTGTAGCAGCGAACACATCGCACAGTGGCATGATTCTTCTTGCATTTGTGTTTGACCTGACACATGGCTCTTTTTCCAGGACTAGGTGTGGAGCGCTAAGGTGAGGCCCCGCCCTCACCGCGGCCCCGCCCCCTCCGCTCCAGGTGCCGCTCATTAAAGGCTGTGAGAGCGGACCGACGTGTTCTGTGAGTCCGAAGATGTCCGCGAGCAAAGTGGAACCGGCAGAGCAGAGCCCGCCGCTGTCCTCCAGGTACGAGTCTGTCCTCACCTGCAGCTGAGCTCAGCCAATCACAGCTGGGATTCTTAGCTCAGGCTGCACCTGTTCGTGTTCCGTTTGTTTGGCGTCTTTGTAAAGTTGAGCGGGCCGAAGCAGCTGATGTCTGTGAGACGGAACAAAGCCGAACCGCGGACAGGTTCTCGGGCGGCTTCGTCTCGTGTGGTTTCCGGCTGTTTGTTCTCTTTAAACACGCGCTGGGTCTGCGCTTCGTGACGTCAGCTCTCGGTATGAGCTCGCGGACTCACCTGTGTTCTCTGTACCTGCAGCGGCCCGGGTCTTGCTGCCAGGCTCCCGGTGTTGTGCCAAAAACTGATTTCCAGTGTTTTTGGTGTTTGTGTAATGTCTCTATGTGTGTCGGTGAACACGGTCCTGGCGGCCAGGTTACTCTTAAAGAAGACTTTTTTTTTTTTTTTTTTTAACTGGACAGATAAAGGTGAACTCAAGACGCTGCCAAACACTGATTGGTGCTTCCAGCCTGTTACAGGAGTGCTGTTTGTGGCTCAACATGACTGGATGCCATTCATGAGGAAACGTCTCACATATTATAGACCAACAGCTTATTTTTGTCAGTTTAAATACGAGCAGTGAGTGTTTGGCGCACGCCGCCTCACAGACTGGAACCTCTGCACTGACTTTAAGCACACGCGTATCTTTAACACTTAAACTCTGAAAGCAGCAGCTCGAACCTGTGAGTCCGTGACGAAGGACCTGAGCTGTGACCTCGTGATGTCCAGAAATGAGACTCGTGACGAGGCTGAGCTTGCAGGTGAGCAGGGACACACTCGGGACGTGTGGTCGAGCTTTGTATAGTTTATGATATGAGCTGTTGCATCAGTCCACTGAAAACATCTGTAACATCTGCATGCTGAGACTGGGGTGCTGACAGACGTGTGACCGCTCGCGTAGCGACAGAAACAGGAAATGATGTAGTTTCTACATGGCGCTCGTCCACAAACAGAAACCTGGGCTGAAAGCAGTGAGGAGGGGGGAGGGGGTCTCCCGGGACTCGTTGGCCTGGATGAGTCCAGGTGTGAATCCTGAGTGCTTAACCCCCCATCATCATCACAACGACTCTGACGAGGGGAGGGGGGGTCAACGACCCTTCGAGGGCTCTGAATCGCTCAGTGACCTGAGGTGAGCTCGTCAGTCTCACCTGGACTCTCTAAACCGGGTGTGTCTGCTTGCAGCTTCCTCTTCAGCCCGTGGTCGTGTGTCTGCGCGAAGGGCTGGTCGGCGACCATGTGGAACAGCCTTTCTGACCCGGTGCTGACCACCACCGCCTCGGGATGCTCCGCCCCCGAGCCGTGGCTGCTCCCCGGCTGCAGCTCCGTGTACGACAGCCTGGTCAGGTATGAAATTCTCCTGCAGAGGGGTGGGGTCAGTGTAGCGTGGCAGAGACGGCGCCCTCTGCAGGCCGTGGTTTCTCCTGACACCTTTCTCTTCTTTGCAGTAACGTCTCTCCGATCCCGTCTCCTCGTGGCGCCGGCGGCATGCGAGGACAAGAGCGAGTCATCAGCGGCAAACCACGCAGGTATTTGGCTTCTTTAATCCAGGCTAACGAGCCGTTATCAGGATCAGCTAATCCTGCGCAGACCAGTAAACGTGGACTGAAACCTGAAGGTCGCCACAGCAGGTGTTCATGCAGCTGTTCTTCCTCAGGTCCTCCATCCTGGAGCGCTGCATCCTCAAAGTGTCCACGAGCAGCGTGGCCGTGGGGACGGATGACGTGGACAGCAGGAGGTGAGTACGAGGGACATTCAGAGGTTCTGGCCTGCTCTGTGCATAACCTGCATCAGGTGGCGGTAGGCCACGCCCCTGAGCTGTGTTGGCCTGTGGCGTTGCCTGCAGCACTGCACGCTGCTGGAGCCTCTTCTTCTCTGGGTTTCTGTGTTCCCTGTTTAATTTGTCGCTCTGTGAAGGCCCCACATCAGCCGCTGTTACCCCCGCCTGCCGGACCCGACCAACACGGAGACCAACGCCGCGGTTCTGAAACGGCGGCAGAAACAGATCCAGTACGGCAAGAACACCAGCGGATACCAGAACTACATCCAGCAAGTCCCCAAGTAAGAACCCGGAGCATGACGCCGAGAATCGAACGACTGTTCCTCAAACGTCGACGCTGACACGCCTCTCTGGTTTCTCTCCTCCTCCTCAGACACCTGAGGGATCCTAAGCTCCACCCCTCCACTCCTAACAAGTACAGGAAGTACAGCCGGCGCTCCTGGGACATGCAGGTGCGTCTGTGGAGGCGAGCGCTGCACCTGTGGGACCCTCCGACCGGCGCCCAGCCGGATGCCGCCGACACGCCGGACCCCGTGGAGCAGCTGTAGGTGGAACCCAGCGCCAGTTGACATTTATCCAGAAACTGATCCTCGTCAGCTGAGGCCTTTCTGTGACATCATCAGTATTTTCTCTCTTTAGGCAGAGTCAGCTGGAGAAGATGACCTCTGACCTCTTTGAGAATGTTGGAGACGAGCAGAGAGAGAAGGAGACTCCAGCATCCTCTAAAGTCTCCTCTGTGTCTCCTCTGCTGGCCGCCACGCCCTCAGCGCTGCCTGGAGCCTGGGCCGTCCCCGTGTCGCCGGTAATCAGTCACCAATCAAATTCTTCGGCTTATTAAAGATGCGTTAACTTTATTTAACGTCCTCTGTAAAACACAACATCAGCTGATCGGTGACTTTATTTATTCCTGTTTGTTTCTCTGCAGCTGGAGGCGAGCCGCCGGGCGCTTCGCTCTCCTCCAGGCCTGAACTACTCACTCAGCAGTCAGCTGACCACCGATGACAGCATGACCGACTGGCTCCACCTCCTGATGGAAACGGACCACGGCCAAGGTGAGGTAACTCAGCCAGCAGGGGGCGACTCCTGAGGGCGAGCCTGCTGGCTGGTTTGGGGCGGGGCTTGGTCAGATCCAGAGGTGGGAAGTAACTAAATGGTAAATGGCCTGTATTTATATAGCGCTTTACTCGTCCC